GAGGGAGGGGGGGGGGTGTCTATGGATGAGGTGTATAGGGGTTTAAAGAAGAGGAGACAGCAGCATCAAGAAGCTTGCTTCTGCTGTTTATTGAAAGCAGAAGCTGCTTCTGTACTCTGTAATGCAGATTCATCTCTCTTCAAGACAATGCACAGCTCCCTTATAGAGACAGGAGACACCATCAGGAAGAGATACGTTAGACGGAGTCTATAACAAAAGTCTCTGTTCTTATCAGAGAATATTTGAGGCATTTGAAGGGATTAAATTAATTAAAGTGCAACCTACAGAAAAGTTTATCACCTTCCCTCCTTTATGCAGCCTTCCAAGAGCCAGCAGCAGCTATGGGGTGCTTAGCTTTATATTTTTTGCATGCATTTTGAATTCGGTAGAGGGTAGCTATTGGGAGGGGGTAAGCAGCTCTACGACAATTATTGTCTACAGGGCTAGCGCATGCATCAGAAGAGGAGTTGTTGGCGCTTGCATGTGGCGCTCCCTCTGCAGCAGGAGATGCAGCAAGGTGCGGGAGACTGTCTCCTCTGTGTCCCAGCTAAGCACGTTGGGTCTCAGAGCTCAGAGCGGGTGGTGGAGACTGAAGAATAACAATAACCTGCTTTAGACTCCTATTCAAACTATATTTTAAATCTTCTAAACCCTCGGATAAAGCCCAAGTCTCCCGGCACAATCGCACCAACATGTCGTTCTGAAGAAAAGCAAAAAGAGCAGCATACCTCCCCCCTACCGCTTGGCTTGTTGGTGAGCATCTCGGGTTAATTGTGAAGGCTCCCTTCCTCAAAAAAGAAAAGATTTATCTTGATAGTCTCTTCCCGAAGTGTTGTGAAATAGAGAACCTTCCCTCCACTCACATAATAAAGGCTTCTCAATATCTGCTGTTTTAAAGGAGACAGCAAACTGCTCGAAGCCTCGTCGCAGTATCCGTACCCCGCCCAGCTGAAACTGTTTTTTATTTTATCTTTTTTTAATAATAATTTATAAAACAGAGCATCCGCCAGTGCCAACCACCAAACCAGAAAGAATATCTCGATGTGGGAGCAGTGAGAATGAATATCTTGCTTCTCTGGAGGTGTGCTTTGTTTTAAATACCCCTTAAACGCTCGAGATGCTGCTAAACTCTTGTTTAGTAGAAGGCGAAGCAAGACAACTGCGGCTAGCCTGAACACAACCACGCAGCAGCTTCCATGTGCATGCGTGGGCTAAGGAAGCGTTCCCAGGAGCGCTTTCATGTTAGTTAATCTCCCGGGCGGAAAGAGAACAGGCTATAGCAAAGTCAAGGAGGATTAAAGTGTTTACCCTATCGATAGGGTAGAAAGCTACAGCAGCAAGAAGGAAGAAGCATTGATGATTAGATAGCCGCCGGTGGACTCGAAGCACTGGCACAGAGAGAAGCTGTTCCTTGAAGAGGGACAGACTGGGGAGAGGGAAGCAATTAAAGACAGAGTGAATACACACCACGATCACGGAGTATTCAGGCATCATCAAAGCGAGCAAAGACTTCACTGCCAGAGAGCGAGGTAAGAAGAAAGAAGAGTAGTTTAGCATGTACTGACCCAGGTACATACAGCCCATTGATCTGTCGGTTAAGAATGCGATCCCCGCGGAGAAAAAGAAAAAAAACAAGCAAAAATAGATGCTTGAGGACCCTGCTCTCACGAAGCCCTGAAGACATTCTGAGAGACTCAGCTACGCAAATGCAGTTCCCACAATGGGAGACACTTAAAAGTAGAAAAGAGTTAAAGGCATGGAGTAGCAATGTCTTGAGAAACATCAACAAGACCTCGAGTAAACGTACAGAGTTTACTCGAAGTGGGTATACCCGCAGGTGTATATCCACCCCGAGTAAACTCTGTGCCTAGAGAAGTTTGCACTAGTGCTCAGCGGTTGCAAGCTCTCCACAAAACCCTCTGCGAAGAGGCTCTGGTAGAAGGAGCTGCGGCTAAGACGCGCAGCCTGTCTCTATATTCACTGGCTTAGTCTCGGAACCTAGGCTGTGTTAATGGCAGTAGTAAGGAGACGAAATAGGTTAAGGCAGTGGGCGCATAATTCAAACTCAACTCAGAAGACAGTCAGATTTCTATGAAACGGGGCCCTTACGCTGGAGCACCTCAACACAAAATAATCCTAAGCACCTCATGCTGATTTAGTGAAGGGCTCTCCTGCAGTCTCCAAAAGATAACACTGAGGCCTATGTACCGGGAATCAGTGATAGAGGCATCAACAACAACAACAGCAACAGGAGCCTCTACGGTAGAAGGAATGAATAGAAGGAGTGGAACCACTAACTTAAAAAGGAAGAAGCTAGGAGGCTCCAATGCAATGCAAAAGCGCTGCAGAAACAACGAAGTAATGCATACACTCCATTGTAATAGTCTCAACAAGAGAGTTGTTTTGAGGGATTTGACTCAGCTAACAGCCGAAGAACCCCAGAAGTAGCAGTGGAAGCAGTTAGACCCCCTTAATTGGGGCCCTTAAGAAACATGTTGCATGCACAGAGGAACTGCAGCGTGCATGCAGTCTACGCCCTACAGCCAATGTTGCTAGCTGGAGCGAGCTAGCCTTGGTTAGCGTTGCATGCCTCAAAGACCCGAAGCCCTCAAGCTTGTCTCTGTTGCTGAGGAATTACTGTGATGTTTCTCTTCTGAAGCTAGGGGCCTTCATCTACAATTTGTAGGAAGGCTTCTCCAAACTAGGATCTTTACCTTTACCCCTGACGGTTCCCTCCCCACAGCCTAAAGAAAGCAAAGATCTGACATTAAAAATGTAAGTAATGTACAGCATATATTGCATATACAACTACCTATATACTATATATTTTGCATATAATATATATATATATATATATATATATATATA